TACCATGCCATATCCCGCTTCATGTAGGGCCACCAATAATCCAGTCATAGGTCTATATACATTTTTGTTGCTCCAGGTTGAATAGAGAACCTTGACTTGTGTGCCTCCTCCATCAAAACCTAATGCACACCACTTAAATACGGAACCCACACTCTCCGATATCATAATCGAAAGAGGACACATGACCCACTATACATTAGAAGATAAGATCATGATTCTTAATAATATTTATATTGGTAACCAACTGAATAAATCCATGTTTTGAAACTAACCACAGGAAAAAGGGGGATTCAAAGCTAAACGAAAGTGTCTTCATAATCTGATTACAATCGTCTTTAATTAGTTGTTTGCTTAGATTTTAGATAATTGAGTAGTTAAGTTAATATAAACTTGCAAAATCAAATAAAAAACCCTAATTAGTTATTGTTTTTAGATTAATTTTCAGTAGTTATTTTATTAGCTTAATAATGTTCCTAGTGTTCGATATCCGACTTACTTTTCTATATTATAAACTGACTATGTACACTGCCTATAAGTGCATCATCAGTTAAGTTAGGTTAGGTTATAAATTTAAAACGAGTAGGTATACTTGTGCACATCATTTACCAGGGGCCCAAGTTCAGCCAGAGGTAGTGGAGTAGGCCCAAGTTCATCCAGGGGGCAGAGGAGGACCACCACCTACAACCTAACCACCTCCACCACCACAACCTGCAGCCCAACCACCACGTATTTTAAATGATTTCTAATCTTTGTTATATATATTGTATTGTTACTTCAATGTCATTCAAACAAATTTCACTGATTGCACTCCATTAAAACAAGTTACTTTACATCCCATTCCATTCCAACAAGTTAAGTTACATTTCATTCCATCATTTCATCATATACATAACGATCAAAATAAGAAACCATATGTTAAACTTATACAAATTTTCCTTCATTGCAATAGCATCAAGATACTTTTCCTTCTTCATTTGTTCCATGTCTTCTTTCACCTTGTCCAGTTTTGTCTTTAATGAAAAATGAACAACCTTTATCTTCTTTATTTCTTCCGAGTCTTCCTTCATCTCCTTTGTTTTCCTCTTCAATGCTTCTTATTCAAATTTCATTTCGTCCACTACATCCCTTAGAGGAACCTGTACATGTTCGACATTCAACCACTTCCAAAATTTGCATTTATTCTTCAAAACAAATGATGTTAGAATATGTGTAAGGAACCTTTAAGGATGACAAATCAAAAAAGAGGGTGGAATCAAACAAAAACAAGTAATCAAAACAGGAAACCCTGAAACAAACATGGACTTATGTAACATCTTGATTTCCGAGGTATAACATTTCTATATGCAAGTATGAGTTTGCTTGGGTGACTCGACGAATTGGTGCCTCAACTCGTCGAGTAGGGTCGCGACTTGGTGACGTGTTTAATGAATAGACTCTACGAGTCGGGTATCTGACTCGCCGAGTCAGCGCTGCTGAAGAAAACCCTAATTGCCCGGGTTTGTGACCTATTTAAAGGCTCTTATGGCCTTCATTTGTGGCCACACTTCCCCTTGAGAGACCCCAAATCGATCCACAGAGCTTAAGGAGATAGAGGGAGCTAATTGCTTCATTTTGGTGCATTCTTGCAAGGAAGAAGGAGAAGGTTCAAGCTTGACTGTCTAGAGGGGCTCAGATCTTCCACTATTTCATCCAAGGCTGCCGTTGGAGGTATGAATCCATACATGTTTTCATATGATTAGTAGATCTCATGAATTTAGGGCTTCTTTACCCTCTTCTAAGTTGAGATATGAAGCATGTGAAATCCCTTTGAGGCTTAGACATCAGATCTGCACCTTGATAGGTCCAGAGAGTCCCAAGAACCCAGCTTTATGCAGTTACATAAGAATATTGAACCAAAGACACCATTTTGAGGGTTATTTTGTCAATTAGAGCTAGATGAGTGATGCATGGTCATAAAGGTCGAACCTTTACGTGATTAATGAGCCTTGAGTGCATAGATCTGAAGTTTGGGAAAGTGTCTTGCACTAAAATGGCTGAATGCAAAAGAGTCTGAATAGACTCGCTGACTCGAGCCGCTGACTCGGCGAGTAGCCCATGGTTTTATCCCGATGAACTGAGTCAGGTGGTGACCCGATGAGTTAGGGGTTAGCTCGTCGAGTTGGAGCTTGTTGGGATTGCCATGAATCGACTGGACTCGACGAGTCGCCCGAGTGCCCTCGACGAGTCTGGTCAAAAGTTGGACTATTGACTGGAGTTGACTTTTGTTGACCTTAGGGTTTGGTCAAGATGAGTGTAAGAGGTCAGGAAAGGATAGAATGGTCTTTTACCCTTCTGAGAGAGAGCATATGAAGGGTATAGTCTAGCCTTTGAGAGCCATTATTAACTAGAGGTAATTTCTGTATGTGATTAGGCGGAGGCTAGATCAGTGTTTCGAGTACGAGATCATCCGAGTTTACCCGAGGTGAGTCTTCTCACTATACTTTACCTAGAGTGGTAATTATGTGTGACCAGAGGGTCTTATGTGCTTGCTTGAGTTATGCATTTTGTCTGCATGATTTTATGCTATGTGCTATATAGACCGGACCGGAGGGTCCAACGAACTATGAGGCCGGAAGGCTCTTAACCAGACCGGACCGGAGGGTCCAACGAGCTAGACCGGACCGGAGGGTCCAACGAGCTATGACCGGACCAGAGGGTCCAACGAGCTGTGGGACTGGAGGGTTCCACTGAGACACAGTGACCGGAAGGTCTTACAGAGCTATAGCCTCGAGTGGCTAATTACTTGTGTGTGGTATTTTGGGGAACTCACTAAACTTCATGCTTACCGTGTTATATGTTATGTGTTTCAGGTTTTCTCAGATCGCGGGACGGCACCAGCTTGATTGTACACACCTGAGAAAGAATTATGTTTCAAGGATCCTGGATTATTAACTGATTAAACTCAAAGTTATGTTATGTAACTAAATGAATGATGTTTTCTGAAATGTGCTATGAAGATTATATGATTAAGAATGAAAAATTGTTTTGAAAATTCACGTCGTTACAACTTACCTCATTGCACACCATGAATTGTCTTCCTGGGTTCTTTGGTGTTGTTGAGGTTTAAATACGTGTAGGGAACCACAATTACAATTTTTTTTTATTTTTATTGACATTTGATTTCATGGTAGATCAATGGAAGGAGGAGGAAATAGTGGAGGAAGCTATCGAACGATTAGGGCACAAAAAAGAACCACCTTCGTCCCTCTTTTAATAATAGTGGACCTATATGTCACGTCATTTTCCATATCAGATAAAACTGCCAACTAGGATAACCAAAATCTATGGAACCGGCTAAAAGCAATCTTAAGGGTAACATTTACACGTTTCAACAAGTTCAAGGGTTAATACAGCACAAAAAAAAAGTTTAGTGACCAAATGTGATCAAAAGTTAAAATATGTTACCCTCTCAACTTATTATCCCTTCAATAACTATATAGTGTATTTTTTATTCTCGTTTGCATCAATCACATTTCAAAAACTCTACCTACCATTTTTGGAAATGGTTAGTTTTCAAAATATATAGTATCACCAATTTATCAATGAATATCTCATTTTATTCTCTTGTATGGTATCCACTTTCCATTTGCTATATTCCTTTAACATTTTGTTGAATTCTAGTAAAAAATAATATATTTGTTTCAAAAAATTTGGCGTGTTCTTGAAATTCCAGGAAACTTATTTTTTATGTCTGCAATTAGGAATCCAAAACCTGAAATATGAGTATGAAATTCGACTCTAAAAATATACTTGTTGATCAGAAAAAGTATTTTTAGGTAAAACATAAATTTACTTAGAAATAGCTCGAAATGCCCCCATTTCGGACATGGTAGGATTTGGTAAAACCTTGAAAATTTAGGTTATTTCCTTATGCTCCAAGATTCCAAATAGCTGTTTTTGCAAATATCCCTTATCGAGAAAATCACAAAAAATACAAGAAATAAGGGAACATCTAACAAAATAAGCATTTTTTATTTTATTTTTATATAAATTATCATATATTTCGGTATGACTTCTTTTAAAACCAGTTGTGACTTCACTTTTTAAATGTCCTTAATTAAAAATGGTAATCACTGTTTTTTGAAAATTAACTTTTTAGAATATCTTAAAATTGTCAAGTAACCGATTTTATGTTTAAAAAACGTAACTGTAACATCTGAAATATATAGAGAAATTGTTGAGAATAACCCCATTTCTAAGTCAACTCGACGAGTTGGAGGGACCAACTCGTCGTGTTGAAGATGGATGGATCGTGAGGGTTTAATGAACCAACTCGACGAGTTGGGGAGCCTCAACTCAACGAGTTGGCAGCTGGGAAGGAAACCCTAATTTTTAGGATTTTGCACCCTCACTACTAGAAACAGGGGTTTTAGCGACAGACGAATTCGTCGCTATTCCGTCGCTAAATATTGTTTGCGATGGATCAGCGACAGATTCACTCCATAGGTAATTAAAAGGTGGCTAATGACTCAGCGAGGATTTTAGCGACGGACCGGTTTTTCCTTGCGACAAATTTAGCGACTGAATATCTGTCGCTAAATGTCACTCAATACATTTACCCAGGACATTAGCGACAAAATTTGTTAAAGACATTTCGTCGCTGTTCTGTCACAAATTTCTGTGATCAGTTTTTTTTCCGTAGCTAATCCCTTGCAAAGTTCATATACTAATTTTTTTTCCGTCCCTGATCTGTCGCAAATTTTAGATATGATTTTTTTCCATAGCTAATCCCTTGTAAAATTCATAAATTAATTTTTTTTTCTTTTTCCGTCGCTGATCCGTCGCAAAATTTAGACATGATTTTTTTCCGTAGCTAATCCCTCACAAAATTCATGCATTATTTTTTTTTTGTCACTAATCCGTCGCGAACTTGTAATATCATTTTTTTATTATGATTCTAAAAGAAAAAAATACTACAATCATCAAATTATTATACTAAAAAACATCAAATAATGATACAACCAAACATTATAATACAAAAACTATCAAAGTTACCAAAGTATCATTCAAATAACATCCAAAAACAAAACTGTCCACATAACATCGAACTCCCAACGGTTGAGAACATTTTAACACCAAGAAATCCAAAGTATGCAAAAGAGGTACAAACATAAAAAAGTTTAACCTTCAAAATAAGCATCGGGAAATGAGTTTTCACAAAACATAACTTCAAAATAACATTTTAGCCGCTCTCTTCATTTCATGTTCATCCAATCATCTTCGGTTCTCATTCCTATAAAACATTATTCAAAACAATCAAAAACATCAAATACAAAAGGTTAACAAGTCATTCAAAAACATCAAATACTAATGGTTAACATCATATTACCTTTAATTTTCAATTTCCCATCATATTTTGCATGGCTGCATACATCTTCTCCATTGCTTCATATTTTGCATCAATTTGTTGTTGTTTGGCATCTATCGCTGCAACTTTGGCATCCATTTCCTCTCGCATTTGTTGATGTTCAGCTTCCATATCTGCACCTTTAGCATCCATTTCCCCACGCATCTCGTTTCGTACACGTTCAAGAAAACCTAAAGTACAATGCCATGATATGGAACTTTGTAAGTACAATGCTACGATAGGAAACTTTGTAAGTACAATGCCATGATAGGAAACTTTGTAAGTACAATGTCATGATAGGAAACTTTGTAAGTACAATGCCATGATATGAAACTTTGTATGTACAATGCTATGATAGGAAATTTTTATAAAGTACAAAATTAAACTAACCTCTTTGGATGTTATTGTACTAGATGTTCCTTCCAAAAAGCTCGTTGGATCAGACACATATCTGAATCCATATATTCTTCCTTTATTGACTCCTCCGGAAACATCACACCATGTTTCATTATCCAAGAGGGGGTGGAAACTAGTATCATAACCAAACTTAGCCACCATAGCACTTTCATAAGCCTCCTATTATAACAAAAAAACATGAAAAAACAGAAGCATGAAAGAAGGAATCGAATGGTTCATTCCATTCAATTAAAATCATAATCAAGGAATGGAATGAACCACTTAAAAAGCCTCCTATTAATTAATACTCAAACCTTGCATAAAGTTGATTACTACTTACAAAACACTTAATTACAACTAGGCAGAGGATCAAACATTTAGAGATAATAATTTGTTTCTTTTCTTTTGTAAGTTGATTACTACTTACGAAAGATTTGTTTTATGTCAATTTGTTGCTTTAACAAAGTCATTAACCCGAGTAGTAGGAAGTTTTGTTTCCTACAAAAGAATTGTAAATACCTGAACTTTAGCTGCTTTTGGTGTAATGTACTATTGAGTAGGCTGTTTAGTGTGCAACCTTGCATAAAGTTCAACTCATGTAGGAGGGCATTTAAGTGTTGCTTGCTACAAAATCCATTAGTAATACATTAAAAAACAAAACAAAAAATCAATAGTCTAAGTGGAAACTAAGGTGAGATGCAAACATCTTACCATTCTTTTCTTATGTTGACGAATAGATATAGAACCCCAGTATGTTTGGAAACAGAGCCATCTTCTAATTTATTTCTATTTTTTTTTCCTGATTGGGATAAACGTTTCCATTTGGATATGGTCCACACTTCATTGATCATTTTTTCCCAATACTCCTTTTTTTATCCAATTTGGGCGATAGTCCTTTAGCAAATTTAAATCGCCTTCTAGTGAGGCATTCACATTTGCAGCTTGGGCAAGTTTAAAAGATTCTTCACGTGTTCTTCGCGTTGTGTCAGGAAATCGTTTCTTCATACAATCTTCCCATACCTTGCGAGCAAGAACATCAGTCTCTTCGGGCCAGACATACAAACCCTACATGTAGATCACGCATACAATTATCTTTTTCATTTTACACCAAGTTTACTTTAATAAATCATAAAAATAATAAGTACAAACCTTGAAGTGTTCCCACATTGCATCACGATGTTCTTTGTCAACCTTCTTCCATGAGGTCCATGGGCCGTCAAACATCGTCTTTAGTATACATATGATGTCTCTGATCACTGAAATCTGATCCGTAAATCTTGCAAACAATAAATAATTAAAAAATTAGCATTAGTATTATCATTAACAAGTAAATTCATTTTCATAAACAATTGTAAAATTAACATTAGTACTCGTTTTCAGACTCTACTTCAATGAACTTCCTTTTTGATGGGTTACTTGAACTTGTTCCAAGATGTTTGATCCTCTAACTGAAGAAGAAGGTTGACTTTCTGCATTATTGTGTGATTGAGATGCATTTCTATCTCCAACATCACGACCACCGATGTGACTACCACTGCGACCACTACCACGGGCTCCTCGTGACGCCATTAGCAAAAAAACAACCCTTAAAATCAAGAATTAATAAACTATTGGTTAGAACAAGTATGTATTATAATAGAAAATTATAGAAGTAAGAGAAGGTAACATGCTATAATACACAAATAAATGAAAGTACAATGTATATAGAAAAAGAAAACGATCATTTTAGCTAAAAAGTTATTAATAAGGTCCATTAGGCAATATATAGTTCCAAATACATTGTTTCATTCTACATTTTTAGTAATTACTCATCATCAGAATTATCATCACATATGTTGTCTTCATCTTCAATATCATCTTCGGATGAATCATCCAAGTTATCATCAACTTCTTCATCCTCTTCTCTCTAATGTCATTGTCATTAACTTCTTCTATTTCTCCTTCAATTACATGAGAAAGGGGTCATGCCACCTCATTTGCACCGCTACTTGTAGAAGGTAAAGTCGCTTCACTTTCTTGAAAGAATTGGTCCTCTTCATCCTCATCATCATCTTCTTCAGTAACACATTGTCGTAGATCATATACACCCCTTGGCTTCGTCTTGACGACAGCCCACCAATCTTTCAAATCCTTCATTGCAGGATATGGTGCATAATACACTTGTTGTGCTTGTGACGCTAGGATAAACGAATCTTCATTTCTTAGCCTTGATTTGTATTTAATATCAACCAAATTATGCTTTCGATCCACACGTACCCCTTCAGTAGGGTTAAACCATGTACACTTGAACAATACTACAACACAACGCCTTATGCATTGATATTCTACTTCCAAGACCTCATCCAACAACCCATAATAGTCACACTCAGTCTCATTGTAACAAGTCCCTCTTACACATACCCCACTATTGTGTGTGACCCGTCCACCGCCATATTTTTCAGTATGAAACTTGTAACCATTGACAAAGTATCCTTTATAGGACCTAACATGTCGTAATGGTCCTCATGCAAGGCATTTCAGATGTTGACTGATATCATTTGATTGTTGAAAAACCTACATTGATAAATTCATTTGTTAACTAATTCACAGGGCAAGACACTTTGGTAATACAAATTTTGCTCGTATCATACTCACATGATCTTTAAACCACTTAGCAAAATGTTGATCCCTAAATCTTTCAAATGCTCCATCATCCATATCAGGTTGTCTTTAGATCACATAATTTTCAAACAACCTTAAAAAATAGCAAACATTTTAGAGATTCACGACATCCAGGAAAAATAGATAACTTGACATACCTTAAAAATGGTAGAACCTCAACACAATTGATCAAGATGTAATTATGAGCAATACGCATCTCATCATCTGTCAAAGGGCTCCGTTGACCACTTTATTCGAATAATCTTCGAGATGGAACTTTGAAAATGCTTAATCGAGAGTCGACCATTGTATAAATAGGAATGTCTGGGGCAAAATTACGTGACTCACGATTCAACCGGGTTTCGATTGTAGGCAAAAAGTATTGTGAGCAAAAAGTCGATATTTCTCCAATCATGTAAGCCTCAACAATGGACCCCTCAACATTCGCATGGTTTTTTATCTTTCTTTTCCCAACTTCCTAAAAAGATGTTGGAAAAGGCTTATTAGAAATTCCATAGGTTTTATGGTAAAATCTTTTCTATGGTAAAAAATATACCTTTCATAAAGATACATCCACCTATATTGAACCGGACCACCAAGCATAGCTTCTCGAGCTAAGTGGATAACAAGATGCTCCATTGAGTCAAAGAATCCAGGTTGAAATATTTTTTCCAACTTGCAAATGGTTTCAACAATTGTCGTTTGCAAGCGCTGTAAGTCATCTATGCGTAACACCTGTGAACATATTACATGAAAGAATGTACACAACTCTCTAATTGCATCTCATGTTGAGTTTAGCACCATACCTCTTAGAGAAATAGGCAACATTCTTTGAAGAAATACATGGCACTCGTGACTCTTGAATTTGTAAAAGATATTATCATCTACATTAACGCACCCCCCCCCCCAAGTTTGAGGCGTATCCATCCTGGAATTTAAGTTTAATCAACCATTGGCATATTTTAGTTACTTGTTCTTTGCTCAAAGCAAACGATGCTCTCTTTCTCACATCCTTATTTCCCTTCTTCCATGTATGCCATTGCACTCGATTGCAATACATTTCTATATCTTTTCTTGCATTCATGTTGTCTTTGCTTTTTGGAGTGTCCATCACGGTGTTGAAAATATTTTCAAACACATTTTTCTCAATGTGCATGGGATCAAGGTGGTGTCGTATCAACAACTTCCGCCAATATGGTAGCTCCCAAAAGATGCTCCTCTTAACCCAATTATGAGTAATTCCGAAACCAGGCAATTTTGCATTCTTCGCTCTAAAAGGTCTGCCTTCGCAAACAGTTGGAAAGTGTCGTACTTGCTCCCAAATCTGATCACCGGTTAATATTGGTGGGGGGCTAGATCGTTCAACCTTATTAGCCAGAAATCCTGTTTTGTCAACCCTATATGTGTGTTGTCCAGGTAATAATTTTCGATGGCAGTCAAACCAACATGGTTTACTACCATGGTGTAACCGAAACGACCCCGAATCACCCATACAATACGGACATGCTAAATTGCCATGTGTGCTCCATCCCGATAACATTGCATAAGCAGGAAAGTCACTAACTGTCCAAAGAAGTATAGCTTTCATTGTGAAACTGCATTTAGTCGAAGCATCATAAGAGACAACACCGTCTGTATATAGCATCTTTAACTCGTCAATTAGTGGCTTGAGAAACACATCTATATTTTGACATGGGCTCTTTTTTCCAGGAATAACTATGCTTAATTGAACATATGGTTCTTTTAAGCACATCCAAGGAGGCAAGTTATAAATTGAAAGGAAAACAGGCTAACATGAATACAGGGTTTGTATTTGAATTATTTGGACTGATACCCATCGGTGCATAGCCCCAAGTACCGCGACACTTAGTCAAATCAGTGCCCCATAGTCATCATCTTGAATGAATTCTGGGAGATCAAAAGCTTCTTCGTCTCATAGAAGTTCTCAACTAGTTTCTCACCTTTGGGTAGCATCCGCTTAATTATAGGAAGTATGTGATCATAGGAAGCCTCAGTTATATTGTTTTCTATTGTATTCTGAGTTCCAATGCAACAACTCTCTTGCAGCTTATAATTTTGAATAATTTTCACATCCATCCCACAAAGGTTCATCAGCGTCTTCTAACATATCATAGAACCCCTTGGCAGTTGGATTCGGGAGTTCCTCCATTACATCCATCAACATTTGTGTACACCCATTAACATCATCATCATCATCATCTTCCATCGGATTTTGCATCGGATTAGAAGATTCTTCCTCATGCTGAGATATCATATTTCTTTCACCATGTGCCCACCAAGTTGTGTAATTAGGAGTGAAACCGTTTTTTAACAAGTGAAGCTCTACATCACCTCTTGTTTTATAAGACTTGTTCTTGCATTTAGAACAAGGACATCTAATATAATCCTCATCAACGGTTGCTTCATTATAAAAAGCAACATCTATAAATCCTTTGACTGATGCATGATATGTTGTGCTAAGATACCCATGATCTAACCTTTTGTACATCCGGTCTCTATCACTACGTGTTGACATAATGACTAGCTACAACCAAATATATAACTACTATTAAGAACTTAGATAATGTCTAGCTATAACCAAGTAAGAAGTGGATTACAATAAATCCTTTAGAATAAACAAGAACTGGAAGGGAGAGAAAGTAATCAAATAAATTCTAAGTGATAGACATATAGCAAAGAATAAGATAGAGCTTCAATATGCTTACACAAGTGACTATGCTATATAATCTATTAATAAATGTTGTGTCATTAACATTTCAAAGTATATTCATTGTGCTTATTGTATTGTGGAGGTAAATGTTGGAGATGGATAATAGTTATTCTTGTAATTTTAGTTATTTGTCATGTTTATTTTTTTTTCCTAAATGTTGTCTGTGTGTAAGTGGTGTTTAGAAAATACTTTAGAAGATAAGGGCACATTTGTGATTACAGTTTAGTATATTACTTTTAAGTTTAATATATGATAATATCTATATACATTATTAATTTGGTATAACTTATTAGTTTTGATTTGACCAAAAATATATTACAAAACTTTGTCATTGTGGTTTATTAAAAAATTTTGGGCAAATTCGTCATTTTACCATATAATTCCAAAACAAAATGAAACCATAGGGAGAAAAAAAACAAAAAAAAAAAGGATTACAGAGGGGCCAAATTTAAAGCAAAATGAAGCCATATGGATAAAAAACACACAAAATTCTTTTAGGGACCATATCTGAAAAACAATATAGCACAGGGACAAAATTCTTTTAGAGACCACCCAAAACAACACAGATTGAGAGGGAAACGAAAGCATATGAAATTCCCATATTCGTATCATGAAAATGAAATAAAAAAAAAGTTCCCATTTTCAAGTTTTGGGATCGGAGGAATCTTTGAAATGCATTTACAATCTCTTCAAATATACTGCATCATTTGAACATCTTTATTTTTAGATGTTAACATCTTAAAAAAATCTGCATTTTTATATGTTATTGGACAAGTGTTTGATTGTTTTTTAATATTTCTTTTGAAGTGATCCCTTATCTGATTATAAACTTATAACCTGCACAATAGTTTGACTGAAATGCATTTCTTTTCTGTGCAATTGGCCTTTATTATTAGGTATGCCCTATCTTTTTTGTTTCAAACTATCATCTAATTCTCAATTAACCTGTTAAATTCAACTAGCATAAAAACAATGTCTATTCACCAAAAGATATACAAAAACAGTGTCTATTCTTATATGATCAGTAAAAGATATAAAAAAACATAACAGAGCAGAGCATACCAGCTGATCTACACCACTTTCACCAGCAAAAAGAGGCTGTAAATGTCCAAAACTCATAAAGATCAGCAAAAGCTTTTTAAAAGATTGCAACTTTTGGGAAAATTTAGGAAGTAATAGAAGTCTGGAAGCAAAAACACTTACAATCGTGAGCCCAATCGATTCTTTGTTGATTAAAGGCAGGAAACTTGAGCATTCACTGTTTAAAGGAATGGAACTCGGTGTGTTAGATTAAGTATGCAAGGTCTTAAATTGTTAGAAGAATTTCTACCCATTTAACTTGGGAAATTCAGATTTGATAGTGGAATTGCAATGGCTTGAAACTGTGGGTACTACACATATTAATTGGAAGACATAAGTGATGAAATTTCTAATATAAAATTATCATTATTATTAAGTGATTTACATGTCAAAAACCCATCCCCAAAATCAAATACAAATTTCACACATCAAGGGCTCAAGGACACCTTAAAGTTCAAATTTAGGTACCCATCTAATTATTTAACAATTCTTTTATAAATAATAATAATCTACTCAATTATTAATAATTTTCATTATCAACTTGTAATTTATTTTCCCATATACTTATTAAATTATCTTCATAATTTATAAACACTAGAAAAGTAAGAAATCTTCTAACTGTGTCCATTCATTGATTTAAAGGGGGAAAGATGTTGTTCAACTCCAGCTGGAAAGGTGAGAGCTT